TGGACGAGGAAAAACACGACCCAAATGAACATTACAGCCACCCGTACTGGACCTAACGAGGATATTTTGACTGAAATACTCATAATTTTATGTACAAAAACATGTTACACATTTCTATGATTCTCAAAATATATAAACGCATCAGGTGTTTGGCTGACTGCACACTGTAGGCATTGTCTAAAGGTGCGAGACGGGCCTCTTCCCTAATTACTTGCTTATTAACACCAATTTGAGGTTTAATGAGGCGGAATTGTAAATGAGGCGTTCTTCGATAAAATCAGGGTGAAAAAATTTGAAATTATTAAGAGGGCACGCGTGATTAGTCCCATAACGATCAGTGTCAGCGAACGCATGGACATCTGGACGTGCTCAGAGCGCAGGTGATGTTTGACCAGGTTCATTTATTTTTGGATTCATTTATTTCTCCCTTGTCTTTGCTTAATTGATGCCATGCTTTGAGACTTGTTTTAACTGCCATGGGTGTTCAGAATGAATGTTCCTGTAGTTGCTTCAAGACGTTGAAATTTGAATTGCATCTATACTGTCATATTACCTATTACTGTATATTTGAGGAAAGAAAGTACCAAATTTCATTTCAGAGCTACATTGTTCTCATGTGATGTCACTATGCTGGTCACATGACCCCATCATGTTGCATGTTCAATTCAGTAAAGTGGCGTCCAGTTAGCAGTTATGTTAACAATTGTGGCTGGAAAGGGAAGGTCAAGATCAGTGGACTGCATTATGGGACACAATATTTCACAGTATTTACTTGTCTGGTAAATGTAGTAGGTATTCATAAAGTTATTCTATGGTTAATTAAAGGGGTCATATGACGTTGCTAAAAAGAACATTACCGTATTGGCCCGAATATAAGACGACCCTGATTATAAGACGACCCCCCCTTTTTCCAGATGTACCTTTTGGAAAAAGGCTTTTTAAAAACCAAATCTTGTTTTTTCTCAGTAAAACACATTTTGTCTTCAATTATTTTCATATTGCATATTTTTCCTATTTTAATTTTTGTTTTGAAAGTATGGTAAAAACTGGTAAAATGTACCAACAATCACATTTAAAAAATATACACTTTATGATATACCATTAAAAAAAAAAAACAGGTAGCCCATCTGAATTAGGACATTTAGGCTATCCATCTAATAGTAGCCTACCAAAATCTTATTAACAGTAGAAGTTAAATCTTACTGTAGTCTTCAAATCTGGGTACTGTCTTAAGTTTTAAAATCACAAAGGGAGTTTGGTCCCATCAGGCTAATGTGACAGTCACGACTCATGCAGCTGTAAGGTTTTCTGCTTCTTTTGTTTTTACTCGCGATCTTTACAACACGCATCACATTACGTATTTCATGGCACACTCGTTTTATGCGCATTTGGCGCCACCTAGTGTTGTGGGTGTATTATTGACATGTCAAAGTCTAGACCCTGAATATAAGACGACCACGTTTTTTCAGATGTATTTCCAATAAAAAATTATCGTCTTATATTCGGGACAATACGGTATTTTGTGTATTTGGTGTAATGCAATGTCTTTACGCGGTTTAAGGTTCAAAAAACACATTATTTTCCATATAATGTACACTCTAGGCATGACGATTCTAGTTGTGTCCTCTTTTGGAAGGCCAAACAAAGCAGTTTAGCTTTCACAACGACTCCACAACATGGCAGCGGCGGAAAGAGCAAGAATTAAAGTTACACCTTCTTTCTTTGCGTGAACATTTGGGCGGCGTTATGCAAATCTTCCCACATCGTGACGTAGACATGTGGGGGCGTGTTAGAACGAGCCGTTTTAGGTAGGCGTGGTTGACTCTTAACTTTTATAAAGAATATCTCTTTGGATTTGAGACTTTAGTCTTTGCAACTTTACAGATCTTCTTTATGCACCAAGAGCTTGTAACACTCCAAAGAGAAAGGAAAAATTGAAATCGCATCATATGACCCCTTTAAAATAAACATTAAATATAAATAAATAAAATAAACCAAACTTATTTATTTACACTAGCTGCCAAGGCATCAATTCTCATTTTATTTAAATTAAACTGTAAGTACTACAATAACTATAGGAAATATATAGATATTCTTTAAAAAAACAAAACAAAATTACTTCAATTTAACACAATTTAAAACGAAAATGGAAAATATAAAAATGTAAAAATTTTAAATATTACCAACTATAGCAGTAATAGTGTAGTTATATATATTGCAGCAATAGTAATAGTAGATTGTATGTTAGTATGCAATTTCAGTATACAGCCATAGCGCACTGCATTGAATACTGAATCCCACAATGCAATGCACTTGAACTTTCCAGTGTGATGAATGAACTGGAAGTGACATCAACAACAACTTTTAAACCATGCACAATTTTTAACATGACAAGACATTTTTACACAAAGCTGGATTAAAAATAACAATATTTTATAAACAAATCAAATCAACTTGAAGTCAAAATAAATGTATTTATTTTGTCAGTGCATATTAATGGTCTTGTTGTGCACAATTAATTTGTGTCATTCGTGCAATATTAATAATAATAAATAATAATTATTTCAATATGATTTAAATAATGCTTAAATATTAAATGAAAAATTATTAATAATATAAAATGTTTGAACATTTTCAAAGAAAATAATAAAAACTGCCTATTTAATATTGTGCATAATAAAATATTTTTGGACATCACATACTGAATTTACCTTCAACAAAGGTCATGTGATGGTAATACAGCACAGTGTTTGAAACATTTTAATTGCAAACTGAATACATTTTCTTCTTTTAAAAAATCATTAAAAAATCAAGCATTACTACGCCAATACACAGCCAATATTACGCAATATATGCAGTAATCATTTGGTGTATCACAGATGTGGCATTCTTAATTGCAATCTGACAGCGTATTAAAAGCAGAAGAATATTTAAGACACAACTGAGACAGGAGCTTTACAATATCAAATCAGCAGTTCAAAAAAAGCCCTCCATAAAAGACCTCCGGTACGCCGACCCTTTCATCTGTTCCTACGCACAATAACACGGCCTGCAAGCCTTTCAAAACTTCACTTATAGATAAGGCAGGAATAGAGGAAGTCTTCAACATCAAAGACGAGGCCTGTAGTTGCTAGAGGCCATTGTAATACAATCAAGAATCAAGACCATATACAGCCGTAGTGTCTAAGTGCCTCTAAATACTAGTACCATATGTGTTCATTGAGAATAGTCTGAAAGTCAGAGCGAAAAAGAGAGGCAGAAATGTTGTTAGGGATGTGATAGGCTTGATTTCTACGCCAAGACGAAAGTATATATTTTTTCATAATAAAGTAAAACAGCTGCTCGCCAGACCAGTTGGCACTGAGAGAAGTAGTAGATTTTTTTCACTCTTTTATAAGTGCCATTAAAACGAGCTGATGCAAGCACAATGTTACCGTTGTAGAACCTCTGTGTAGACACTAACCTAACACCCAGACAGACAGCTTGTAAAGATAACACTGACAGACCAGCCGGCTACCATGAAACATCCTGGAAAAGTGTCAATTCTCTATAGTTAAATTGAAGTCAAAATGAATTCTATTTATTTTGTCAGTGCACATTCATGGTGTTGTGCACAATTCAAAGCAGGATTTTGTTTTTGCAGTGGGCCACTCGTAAATTATAGAATTTTATGTTAATAATAATGATATGTTATTATTATTATTATTTACATTTAAAAAAAATATTTTATATACAGTATTTTATTTAATTGTACTTTTTTCATTTTTATATTAATTATGTACATAATATAAAAATGAAAAAAGTACATTTGAATAAAATACTGTATATAAAATATTTTTTTAAAATTTAATAATAATAATAATAATAATAATTACTATTACATATTATTATTACATACTATGACATATTACACATTTAATTTACATATTATGGGAAAAGTATCATTGAATAAAACACTCTATACAAAATATTTTGAAAAATCCAAACATTTATTTACAATTTATCTTATACTACTACTATTACTAATTGACATATAACTTACGTATTTACTTTAAATATTAATAAGAATCTATTTAATCTTTAATACTGTATTTAAAGAACCACCGGAATGACACGCACTGATGAATCATTCATATTACAAAATATTAATACCTCTAAAATACGGTCAATTTTGATTCATGTTGACTTTAAAACTTGTTTATCAAGACAAAACTGTTGTGTATATGTATCTTTAACTAAAGGGCACAAGTCACATGAACACAGTCAGAACAGATTGATTACGGTTTCCCAAACCTTACAAATTTGTCATTTTTAATGTTCCCTTCTAAGTCACATCACAGTAATGGCTCTCGACTCATTTTACACATGACACGATAACCTGCAGTTCAGTGAGCGAGTCAGACTAATGATTCAGAGTCGTCTGAATGATTCAATCATTCGTTTGATTAAGAATCATTCAGCGAATGGTTCAACTGATTCATTAAAAAGAAAAGAAACCAGTGATTCGTTCATGAATTGGACAGCACATGCTACAAGAAGTTTTTCCCCTCTCGTCACATACAAGTTCACAACTTTCCAAAAATATTCAATGATTCCACTGAATATCCCATTTCACTCAAAAATTATAGTATATACAGTATATCCAATGAATTCCGCATTAGTCATGGAAGGGATTGTGGAACTTTCATCCATATTTTTAAACATAAAACTGAAAAATTATTGCTATACTTATACTTCTATACGGTAACAGCAATCCCGAAACCTCCAATCTGTTCAAAGTCATCAATCTGCCTACCCAGAGAGAGTTACTTCGGGCAATGATTTCATGACATCAGATTGAGGCAGAAATCAAAAAATCAATCAATCAATCACTAGCACATGCACCGAATGACCGCAAGCCTTAGATGAGGTGCGATTGTGGCCCAACAGAGAGGTGAGCGTGATGACAGGCCTCATGGATGTGGTTAGTCACAGCAGTATGTAATATAAGGTGTACTCACTCCTGGGCTCCCGCGGTCCGTCCACCGTGACCTTAATGGCTCTGTGGTAAGTGGCCACTTGCGGTGGGTTTGTGAATACTGTAATCGTCAGGGTGAAGCTCTTCCCTGTGCAAACACAGAAACATTTAAGAGCTTTACTCACTGTCAAAGCAAAACTGAGCACTTTGAGCTTATAATTCAGGGGACATTTAAAGATTGTAGTATTAGCGATAATGATTTCAGCATACTTTTTGTATTAGTTTTTTGTTTAATTTTAATCTTCTCAGAATGAAGATCAGTGGGAAATTTTGCAACGCTACACTGTGGGGCATCAGCAATCTAGACAGCTCACTTCCCTAAACACCATTTCCAGACAATTTGTGCTCTCTGGTGGTTTAACACAAGGGAACAAGGGATTAACATGACGCTCCAATAGTTCCTACTCATGAATGCCCCTGGTTTGCTGGAGACAGGAAGTAGTGGGTGGAATACTTTGGCAACGCTGGGAAACAGCTGGCAAGACGCGTGGAATCTCAGCACATCTGCTGACACTGATTTTATAAGATCATAAAATATAATTAAATACGACCAAATGGCTCTCATAATGTAAAAATAATCTGCACATATTGGAAATACAATATATATAACATGTCATTGTGACCTGGAATCTTCTGAAAATCAAAGAAACCTCAAGTGTCAAAACTCATGAAGCTTTACGAATCAACGAACCAAAAGATTCCCGTTGCCATTTCATCTTTTTATAGAGTGTACAAGCTTTAAACAACATTTTTAAACTAAATATAAAGGTGAAGTGTGTAAATCTTTATATGTTAAAATATTTTTCCCCATGCAGAGACAACAATATGCATCCGGCTGCATCCAATATCACATACTCTGTGAGTAGGTACTTCTTTTGAATAAGTAATTAATGAAAGTAATTAAAATATATATGCGTGTGTGAAAATTTTTTCAAAGTAATATTTTTACATTAGATGCGCACTTCAGAATCTCGTCGGAAGTAGTAAGTCACCTGGGTACTTTTCGCTACTGTTTTATGAATACTACGGATGTGCGCTACAACTAATTTCATTGAGGTTTAAACAGACATTTTGTAACTGACTAGTCGACTGGTCTAAAAGTAAGAAACCCTCAGAAGACAGTCAAGAACTTTGTGTGTATATGTGATCCATTTGAAATACTTGAACAATGAATCAAACAGTCAAACAAGTGCAGATACCTTATTATCTGAACTGTTCTTATTTTTCATCAAACCGTTATAATTTACAGAACAAAAGCAGCAGACGGGATGAATGAAAACACAAATTCACTCTCTAACAGTAGGTGGCGCTTTTGGACAAGCAAAAATAAAGCAGTTACCATATTACCCCAGCGCTACGCAAATAAACACTATTTTATTAGGGATTTTACTATAACATGAAAAAATGTCAGCGAAACATTTATGAAGAAAGTCAGTTCCCCTTCATTCATAATGTTTCCCCCTGTAAAATGGTAAATACACTCCCACACATTGCTCTTCTTCCTAGCGGATATTTCTCTGAGCCTGTGGCGAGTGACACGAAGACAACGCATGAATGCAATGTCTGAGGTGAGATGAAATAAATTTGTTTTCCGATCCAGATGTCCACTTTTCAAAATAACTTATTTTTTAAAAAACGTATACATTTTAACTAGCCGACTAGTATTTCCAATGTCAACTAACAGCACCAGTTGCATTTAATCGACAAGTCGACTAGTCTCGCACATCCCTAATGAATACTGTGAATTCAGACATACTATTTTCTAGGGGTGTAACGATTCATCGATATGGATCGATACATCGATACGATGTCTGACGATACGATGCATCGATGCCACACGTAAAATATCGATATTTGTAGTATAAATAGGCACCTTTATTTTGCCACTGTCCACATTTTCATATAATGTCCGTCTATGCATTACCGCCAACGCGTGCATTCTCGTTCAAACTCACGTATCAGGACTCGATATAAGGACTGCCCGAAGGCACAAGGTGCGCATAAAAGACGCTCGGGATTGCTTGCGGAACAGTCGAGCGCTGTGTGAGAAGTTTTCTGCGCACACATCTGCAGCACACGAGTTCACCATCGCACACAGACAGCCGTGTCTACACCGCGCGAATACTAAATTGAGCTCTCTTGCGCTTTTTTTGTGCATGGATGAATAAATACAGACAAAATTTCATCAAACATTTGCGTTTTGGCGAATATCCTAGTAAACACAGTCGGGAACAGTTGAGAAAGAAAAGGCATGTGTATCAATCAGTATATTAAATCCGTGTTTCATTCTTAAAGTGAAAGCAAACTAATAATAAATCTAATGCTGTCAAAGAAAAATACAAGTGCTCACTGCTCCTGGGCCAGAATTGTTTTTCCAATTGTTTATTTTCTTTATTATTTAAACAAAAATGTTTAGTCCTATTTTTTTAGTTGTGAATGTTCCAATTGAGGTACAGGATGTGAAAATTTCAGATAAATGTTCATGTTATATATTTTGGTTGCATTTGTGAGTTAATACAAATGTAGATGGTTGATTAAAATAGATATATAATATCATAATATCGATATATCGATCGATATACTCCTGTATCGAATCTAATCGTAATCGTATCGTAGAATTTTTTGAGGTATCGGCAAATATCGTATAGCAGGGTATGAGAATCAATATCGTATCGTGACGAACCATCCGATTTACACCCCTACTATTTTCAGATACTGTTTTTTGCCTACAAAATAGTAAGGAAGTATCCGATTTTGAATGCAGCCTGTGACTCTCAATTTGGCTCAACCAATGGTGTGAGTTTGGAGGTGTGGCCATCTGTTTGATTGACCAATTGCAGACAGGTAAAGTGTTCAAGAAGCATCATTACTTTTACAATTTTGTGCAGTGATTCTAAAGGCACAAAATGTAACACTTCAAGATTAAAAAAAGAATAATAATCTGAACAATATGCAAAATTATATAACACACTAATGACTGTTATGCAGACAGCTAAGTTTCCGTCAATGGTTTTGAGAAACCTTAGTACAGAACGCACAGAGACCTGTAATTTAATGAGTGCATTCTTACCGGCAATGTGGTGATGTGGTTTCACAACGGTGTTGGCTCGTAACTGATAGCTCAGCACACAGACTGACTATAATTATTCTAAGAATGTCATGTGTCCCTGTGTGACCGCGTGCCTCTGCTACCAAATCTCCCTGGAGGATTTCTCCACATGACATTGTGCAAGTGTAGATAAACACAAAATGATTAAGCTTAATAGAAAAACGCATGGTGTGATAATACAGTCTGTAATAGGGTAAGCCTGTGTAAACACACATAAACTGGCATGAAGTGTATTGTTAGTTGCACTAGCAGTCAAAAATTTGGGCATGCTTGAATTAAATTGTTTTACAGGATTTTTTTTTTTAAGTATATAAATGATGTACCTATGCTTAAATATTTTAAAATCCTTTTGTAGGTAAATATGAATTATTTCTACATATCATTTGTGTACCATATTCAATTAAATTGGGACACATTTTGCCATTGAGGATGACTGGGAAAAAATGGCCCAATTATTCGGAATTATACCTAATTACGCATTTTAATTAAAAAAAATCATTAAATAAATTTGTAATGGCTGAAACTAGAAAAGCATCAACTAGTGTCCAGCATCCATGAGAACTTCTTCAATACTGTTTAAAAAGCATCCCAGGATGATATGTTTAACATGCATGCATTTCATTTTTGGTTATTTCATAGTTTGGTAGCTGCTAATATTCTAAAATGAAAGCAGTAATAATAAAAAGGGTGTGGCCAAATGTTTGATTGGATTTCACAGCCAAGTGTAAACATGCAATGGACGTTTCATTTTCTGGATATGAGCACATTTCCCATTGTAACCTGCATGTTAAGGGATTTAAAAGGTTCAACAATCAGAAAACTGACAAAATATGGACTTGCCTCTTCCGCTTCGGCCCACAAAGCGCAGGTCATTGAAGCGGGCAACCTGGTTCTTCATAACACCTGAGGCATTCCTAAGCTCAGCTGAATAATTCTCATCATTCCCAGCCATTACTGTGACCACCGTCCCATCAGAAACCTCTCCCAGGGCCACCACCTGCGGAGAGAACAATGATGCAATGTTTTACACTGTGCATGTGCGCATATGCAAGACAGCAGCTTCTTCAGACAGTTCTTGTGAGTTCTGATTATTATTAGCAAGATTTATGCCAATAACTGCATAAACGTGCATATTTATGCATATGGAAAGAAATATATGAATTAATTATAATCATTAATAATATTATGTTACTATTATTAAAATATTATTATAATTTTTCTTTAAAAAAAAATTTATTAAACTTTTAAATGCAAAATTGATTGAAGCAGTCTAAAAAGGTGCTGGTGTGAGTGCCTAGAAAAATAATGAAAATGATACATTTATTTAATAAATCTATATTTAGATTTTTCGTGCATGTTTACTCTGTGTGCGTGTCTATCTATCATTATCCTTATTAAACATTAATAAGCTTAAAAAATGTAGGTTACATCATATTTATTACTACATTCTGTACATCAGTCACATGCATATTGCACCTAAGGCGATGTGTTTGCATAAGATCTTGCAATTCTATTTCATCATTACTAATCTAGCTACTAATCTGGCAAATTACACAACAGCTAACCACACCTGCACAGGCCTGACCATAAACACAAGATTCTGCCACAGGCCAGAATTTCACATCAAACAGTGAATAATGCCAGAGCAATTTCATTATTTCTTTTTAAATGAAACTTTGTTCCAGTAAAGTCTAGTGCTATTAAGAAAAAAAATCTGTTCACACACTCTTATAAGAGTATAAATAGTACAAAGGCTCAATTCAGTCCACTGACACACCAACTATCCGTGACAAATTGGTACAACACAAACTGACTGAAATTCATGAAATTATATGGGGTACGTTTTGCATAATTTAAAACCGATGGGTCGCTATGGATAGATATTTTACTTTAAATAATAATAATGGCAATAAAAATATCCTAATATCTAAATCCCCAGAACATATTACACTTAACAAAATGTAAGCAAAACTTTGCATATTTTGCTAAATTATATGTTATCATTAATGTTGTTTAAATATGTTTAGAATATTATATTGTACTTCAATATTTGTCAGTGCTGTCAGCAATGTGTTAAAACGGCTTAGACAATTTGACCTGCACAAGCTTCATATTTTTCACTGGATAAAGTTGCATATAAAAACTAACACACAACAATCGTTTAAACACTTTCCGTTGTAGTGTCCATGTTACACATATTACTTTAATAAATGACTGTATTCATAAAGACTAACGCATTTTCCAAAATGCCATTTTAAAAACAAGCTCTCACCTTAAACGCAACCGGTAGCGTTTTATTACACCTCCAATGAGAAGGCAAAACCGAGCAGAGAAAGTTCGGACTGTCGGTCCGGACCAGTTCGGCGGGGTGGTCGGCGATGATCTCGGCCATGGAGCGGTTCTCTTGCGCGCGGAGTATTGGCACCACCGCGCTGTCCTGCTGCTGCTGCTGTCCTGCGCTCGGGTTCACATCATTCATCTTCACCGACACCGGCGGACTGAACCTCCGGCCGGCGCTGGGATCTACGGGAATGCGCATCACAACAGGCGAAATTAGCCAAAGACTAGCGTATGTCCTCTGTTTGCGTGTACGGAGCGCCGTCAGTCCCTCTCCGCGCGCTCAGCGCTGCAGTCTGATGAGTTTGGGAAGTGCTGCGGGTTACACACGCTCAAGCAGACTTCAATTGGCGCTTTGCGCGCAGTCGTCATTAACTACGTTTCCTGTATTAAAAGGCGCTTAATTCACCGCCAAAAGGAGATTTGGTACGGTTCGGTCAGCTCTCCGAAAAGATATAAACAATATGTTATCGCTAATAATAAATATAAGGTGATATTTTGTCTCTGGTGTGCAGGTTCAATGAAGTTTTCCGTAATCGCGCTCCCTGGAGAGCGCGGGATCAAATTAAGCTTTAAAGGATGAAAAGATCGCATGAGGCGAAATGTTTGTTGCTTCCAATGTGGTTGGTCTTTGAAGCCGGGATTTCTCTTTTTTGTGGTTCATATAGTTCCAGCATCATGCAATCATTACACTGATGCCATTACACTGATGCTCAAACACGTGATGTCCCGATCACATCATAACATTTCAACTGAAGTCATTCTGCAGTTACAGTAGGTGAGCATTTACATCTTTAGTCTTTAACTTTGCCTGTGAAAGTTTAAAACTGCATGGCTGTTATCACTTTTAATATCTGAATGGAAACAGGATAAATTGCCTCTTGTGGTCCTGAATAGATTCAATTACTGCATTAAGAGGAAATATATCATTTTTATGTTTTCCTTGAAATCGGTCACAGAAAGGACATTATTAAATTAGTCTAGGCACTTTTCTCTATGCACAATGGCAATGGAATATGCATGCGCAGATATTAAACCACACAGTAATTACAACGTGAAGTACACGATATTGTGTGTGTGTGTGTGTGTGTTTTCAGATAAAAAAGAGGGCAATTGGAAATCATGCAATCATTACACTGATGCCACTCAAACACGTGATGTCCCGATCACATCATACAATTTCAACTGAAGTCATTCTGCAGTTACAGTAGGTGAGCATTTACATCTTTAGTCTTTAACTTTGCCTGTGAAAGTTTAAAACTGCATGGCTGTTATCACTTTTAATATCTGAATGGAAACAGGATAAATTGCCTCTTGTGGTCCTGAATAGATTCAATTACTGCATTAAGAGGAAATATATCATTTTTATGTTTTCCTTGAAATCGGTCACAGAAAGGACATTATTAAATTAGTCTAGGCACTTTTCTCTATGCACAATGGCAATGGAATATGCATGCGCAGATATTAAACCACACAGTAATTACAACGTGAAGTACACGATATTGTGTGTGTGTGTGTGTGTGTTTTCAGATAAAAAAGAGGGCAATTGGAAATTTTCAAATTCAGATTATAGCTATTTACCTGTATGCTAAAATACACATTTTAATATTTCTACATACATTTCTGTACAGGCACTTACCTAAAAGTGTCGACTACAAAAAAGCTCTTGAACATTTCACTATTATACAACAAGAAGGTGTCACATTAATATTATATGATTTTTTTACAGCAATATTTTAAAATATATAAAAAAATGTTTTAGCCAACAAATATTTAGATTTATTAGATTTATCTATTAGATTTATTACAGTGAAAATACATGTAAAACTTTCCCAACGATTTATAAAAAATACTCTCTTATACAGAATGACTTTCATTTGAAGAAACTTAAGTGGAGTTTAACTGAAAACGGCTCATATCTCTGTCTGAGAAAGTGTGAGTCATAATGACAGAATATTTTCAGAATCATACACTTTCTACGCACACCTCTACCCCATAAAGCACAGACTAAACAGGCTGTCGTTTTAATACCCTTCGAGCAAAGTTTCTTTTGACTCTCTGAACAGAGTATCCATACACTGCCTTCAATGTTCTGGCAGTGCAACTAAAGCACGTGTTATTTAATAACGCTAACTCTCCATCTCTCAGTGATACTGTAGATGGCAATCTCTCCCTCTGACTCAACAGGCTCACGGATAGTGATTAACCCAAAGTCATAAGTGCTGCAATATGTTTCACACATTTAAAAAAATGATCCGAATAATAGGTCCGTAATTTTGATGGGAGCACAGACACAGCCAATAAACCAAATGGGATATAAACAAAGCATCTAATTATTCTTGGCAGAACCGTGCAAGAGACTTGTTTAATCAGTGACAACAGTCAATCAAAATTTTGACAAATGTTTGACTTAGGACCAACTTCGGCTTTAACATATATCTCAATATTTCAGTAGTAGGGAAAAGCATATGCATTAAACATGTTCTTGAAGAACAGAGAAGTAAAAATGTGAAAGAACAAAGAAAAAGCATGATATTCACAACTGACACCATTAGATATTTGCCATTTTTGCCATGAAAAACAATCAAATCAAACAAAAGCAACTGCAAAAGTAACAAAATCAAAAGTGATGATCAATAACTGCTTGTTCAGGAATACAGATTCATAACCTCAGCTGGAAAACAGGCTAAAGTAGCTTGGTATTGCTCACATATATTGTATGAAAGTCTTGCAGGGTGGCATGAGTGGGGGTGGCGGTGGTCTCATGGGTACGTTTTGAGTATCTTGTACGTGGGAGGGATAGAAAAACTTCAGGAAGCACTGACATGCATCTGGCACATTGTTAGGAGAGAGAAAAAATAGTTTGAGTTATACAAGTTGCGATTGAATTACGCTCCATCTCCATTTGCCCCGAGCACCGAAAATGTGTTCAAGATTGGCCAATGTAATTAAAGATCAATTTTCAATTCATAAAAAGATAAACCAGAGTTACAACGGTATTAAAAAACACCATGTGTGCTATTCCAACTGTTTGGACAATAAAATAAACCTAATGCAAAAAGAGATGATTTATGCTAATAATTCCACACAGATGCGTGCGCTCAATCAGATGCACGCGAGGATTCGCGGCTATCGGTGATGCAAATAAAACTTAATAAGAGAAATAAAGCGACTGTCGACATGTCCAAACAGAGAGGCGTGTTAAATCATATACACAACGAGATATCAAAGAGCATTTGTCACATCTGAATCCACTTTGCCGGTACAGTATGGCCGCCATCTGCCAGCAATATCGGCATGGAGCAGCGAACGCACGTGATTCGAGTGGTTCACTGTGCCTCCAGAGCTCTGCCCACTTCTTTTCGGGCGTCTCGTTTGATCTCCTAATGAGCCAAGAGAAGCCTACACAGCTGGCTATGATGTGCTACAAAGATGAGGGGTTAGAAGCCGTCCACCAAGCAAGAACCCCGAATTACCATGCGCTATTCTGAGCGGTTTGTCACCAGACACTCGTGCTGGATTCCAACCAGCTCAAACGCTGATGATGTGATAAGCCGAACGTAACCGAACCCTTATCTGCTGATGGCGTGATAGGCCGAGCTCCTAGCGAGGTTGACAGCGTAATCCAGCATGGGGAGCTCGTCAAAAACTGCCAGTGTCCTGAAAAAGGCCAGTTTCAACACAACCAGACAAGTAGTCGCGCAAAAAATGAGCCAGCAACACTTTCCCCCCCTCACGGCGAATTATAAGTGATGACACTGGACAAAGAAACCATTGTTGACTGGTAATGTAAACACGAAGAGACACTGCGCTCCAGGGCTTTAATGATATCCAAATGACTCCAATTCAGATTCATACAGCCCTGAGATTATGTAACGTGCTACATGAGTGTTTTTCTCCACTTCTTTCTCGTCCCGCATTCTTTCGACGGTTGAGAGGAAAAGTACAGCCACTTAAGTCCCTGGATCAGGGCTCCATTTCACAGTGGTGCATTTTTTGAGACACTTAATTATGGCTTTATGTGGGGAGCAATTTGATGGGGCTATGGAGGCTTCCAATTTTAAATAGTTACTTTCCATCCTTGGCACGGTTCAGGAGAACATGCGCGCGAGCGAGCAGGATAGTGATGATTCGTACTCAGAATTCATAGCCTTACCTCATCAGGAAGACCTTCTCAACATCCTTTCAACCCCCAGATTTAATCTGAGCCCATAATTGCCGTTTTGTCATTGACTGGTTAGTGACATCATCACTGCAGACGAGACCTTCAGGACTTTGGGTTGCCAGAGAGGCACAAGAACTGGCTCGGAGAGCAAATTGGACCCATGTTATGGTCGCAAATTTCAGGAACACGATGGTTTTTTGGAAGCGCTCTGCGTTCGTTATGGAAAGTGGAGTGTGGGGCCTGTGGTGGTGGTGGTGATGGAGATGTGGGGGCTGGTTTTGGGGGGGTGGTCGTGGTGGTGGTGGCAGGCTACAAAGACAATTTCCTTTTTGCTCTCATTGGCATGACTGTCTGCCGCCTCTAGCCTTCATGGAGGTCCTTAATTGAGATCACTTGTACATAAAAATAGGAACAGAAAAGGAACTTTTGCGGCTTGTGAGGGGGAAAAGGGGAATAAAAAGACTGGTAATATATGACAAAGGCTCCCATTAAAATACCCGTAACATTGAAGTCAAGTATAGGAGATGGAGGGCCGTCGCCATGGTGATGGTTCGGAGATTTATCGTTTTCCTTGACTTCAAGTACTGTGTTAGTGTGTGACTAGTTCTGTATCAGTTCACTTCCCCCGCATGAATTGTGCGCATTGAAAAACGTGTCACTGTAATATTTTGACGAGGCCTACTTTATAACCAGCATTTGGCAGTGATATAAAATGTATTAAAACATTTTTTTTTTAATAAATATTAAGGAAATGATAAATAGCATGTATATATGAATTGAGTTTGTGTGTATTTTTACCTGCTGCTTGCAAACCTATGGTAACCATAGCAAAAGTAAGCTGTCCAATCATGTTACGAACATAACGACAAAAACATACTTACTATCATTGATACATTTAACATCACAAAATATAGATTTATTAAAGATTTATATTTTTTAAAAATTAAGATATTTAGGGCCAATTAGCATTAGAGCGCAATTCCATAAAAGTGCCGAAGGGAGGGGAAAATTCTGCGGGTGA